AGGCCCCCGGGGCTGTGCCGTTGTTCTCCCTGGAACAATAGGGGCTGGGGTCTCTTCCTGCCGAGGCTGTGGACAGGTCCCATGCGTTGTGGCTGTTTCCTTTATCTGCCCGCTCGGATGGGGGACGCTTTCCGCCCACTCCTGGCTGTCAGGAGTGAGGTGTCCGTTGTGCCTATGGAGCTGTAGTTGATGCCGGGCTGGGAAGGACAGGGATGGAAATGGGTGCAGAGCGGTGACTGCAGCCGTCCATTTCTTGGTTTGAAGGTTTAGGTCTTTCATCCGTGCAGGCCTGACCAAAGGGCTGGACTGACAGCCTCAGTTCCTTGCGGACCATCCCACCATCTCCATGGGCATGAAGGGTGGTCAGGGTGGAAAAGCCAAGGGTACAAGAGGTGGCACATCATGGGGCTGGGGCCCAGACCATCTCTGTTCTCACTTGCTGCCCCTGTTCTGGGTGGAATCAAGGTGGTTTTTTGTTAAAAGCAGAACTTGGACTTGAAACCAAGCACAGTGACTTCTCTGTCCCTTAGACGAGAGCTCCATGAACGGAGACCGGATAGACTGTGGGCGGAAGACGCGTGTCGAGAGCGGGTACTTTTCCTTGGAGAAGACCAAGCAAGACTCGAAGCTGGAAGAGCAGCAGCTGCCACCCCCGCCGAGCCCACCCAGCCCCAGCACCCCGAACAACAGGTACAGTTATCCCAAATCGCCCTCGCAGGAGCATGCCCAGCCCTTTCCTTCCCCAGGTACCCGATCAGGCGACCGAATGATTCACAGCTTCTCTCTGAACTCCTTGGACTCGAAGAGCAGTTGCCCCATGCACAAGGACTCCAGCAGCAGAGATGTAGGAAGGGGAGCTGAAAAGTCGGGGCCTCCCCTTTCTTTGAAAGCCAGCCGGCAGTACCCCACCCTGGCCGACGTTCCCAAGGCCATTAGGATCAGTAATCGTGAGGCCTTCCAGGTGGAGAGGAAGCGGCTAGAGCGGAGAACCCGGGCCCGTAGCCCTGGGAGAGAAGAAGTGGCCTGGCTCTTTGGCAATGAGAGAAGGTAAGGGATGAGTGGCTAATCTCCTCCTTGCATGCTTGCAACGGCAGCAAGGCTGCGTCCCCACCACAGCCCTGGACGGAGTAGCCGGTATTTGCTGGGTGAAGCCCCTTTGCATTACAGTGGTCCTGGGTTTAAGGATGCCAAGGGGCAGGTGTCACCCTGCCTGGCTGCTCTGGGGACAGCTGGCTGAGGTGGGTGATGTTTGGTGGCTGTATTTGCAAGCGAGCCCACCCTCCCTGTCCTTTCCCCGGCGTGGCACACGCTGGCAGCTGGCACCATTAATTAGGTTAGCTCTCTAAATGCTGTTAGTGCTGGGTGCGTTATGCAACTGCCTAATGAGCTGAGAGAGGTTTCAAAATGTCACGGCATTAATCTGGGAGAGGAGAGGCGGGTGCAGAGCCGAGGCAGGGCTGCAAAACAGCTCAGTGCGGAGGAGGATGGGGAGGGCATCCGCACGCACGCCTGCACCGTGCACCGGCGTGCTTGGTGCTCTCCGGGCGAGGCGAAGGACGGGCTCGACTTGCCCTGGGAGAGATGTGTTTGTGCTGTGAGGGCAGCAGAGCAAACGGAGAGACGGGCCCCGGGCGAGAGGGCCGCCTGCCAGTCTGATTTTCTTGCCCTGGTTTTCCTCCGGGCGTGTTCTCTCTCGCACAGTTTCAACAGGCGCTTCTCTTCTGTTTCTTCCCAGCCCCTAAAGGACTGTTTTCCAGCCTGGTTTCCTCAGGCCTAGAGCTGGGAGCAGATCTGGGGAGGGCAGTGCAGCTTTGTGCCGGTGCCACTGGTTGGCAGGAGGATGCCAAACCCAGCCCGGCCTTGGCAGCGTGCACAGCGGGTGCCAGGCTGGGGATAAAGGAGAAGAGTGTGGATTTGGCTTTCTCTGCCTTGGAAAGTGGGTGGGAGGAGAAGGATGCCACACAGGTCCCTTGGCCACCCTGGCTGGGGACGAGGAGGAGGAAAGGCTGGTGGCTGCTGGTTTGCAGGATGAACTGGTGCAGTGTGTTGGCCCGGGTGTGGGCGAGATCATGTCCCCGCTGGGTTTGCTGGCAGAGGACGCCCTGGCCAGCACCTACCCCGGTGTGAGAGGACGGCACGTTCCTCCCTTGCTCTAGCCCTGGGGGTATCGTGCAGCGCTGGGATCCAGCACCGAGCTGGGATGTGCCAGCTGAGGACAGGGAGGAGCAGACTTACAGGCAGATAACAGGGCCCGGGAGAGGACACTGCTGCCAGTGACGGTCCTTTTTTAATGTCAGCCCCACTCGCTGCCTGCTGACAGGTGCCTTTTCCCAGGGAAAGTCTGTTTTTCCCAGCCCAACTGGGCTCCTGGGGCTGTTAAGAGATTTTTATTGCTTTATCAGTATTGGCAAAAATTCCCCTGTGTCAGCCCAGGGCCTTTATCAGAGCGGGACGGGTGTAGGGAGAGGAGTGGATGCTGCAACAGGCACAGGGGTCTTGCTGCCCACAGGGCTGAGCCCGGTCCAGCGTTTGGGAGGGGGGTGATGGCAGAGAGCAGGGCAAGGGG